CTTCCAGCACTTCCGCCACTTATACTCAACCACGAGAGACCATCGAAAGTGTCGATACCATCCGAGAGTCGCCCATTGAGCCGAAGGTTGCAAAAGAGAGTCGCAAAGAGATTGAATCCAAAGTTGAAACTCCAATCGCTCGACAAACTATGGCTAAACACGATAAGAGTGGTGACCGCACGACCCCCGCCACCACCTCGGCCTCCGATGCCAACTGTCCGTTCGGTTCCAGTGAGTGTCCAATCAATTCATCCAAATATCTTAATTTGCAAACTATTTCTCAAACTTTTGTTCATTTCATTAATCCTTTGTTTCTTTGAATATTTTGGTAAAAATTTGGTCAAAACAATGAATTATTGTTTTATAATGTGTTTTTTATTTGGCATTTGTTTTCAATGACTCAAAAACAGTTACTTTTTATGAATAGTAGTTGAAACAAACAAAACATATTTAACATACGGTTTGAGTCAATGCCTGCAATCGGATATTGATTGCGTAATACGATTGGAGACACGTTTTAGACTTGAAGACAGCGTTTGTATCAATTGTGTTTAGTAGTTGAAACAAACAAAACATATTTAACATACGGTTTGAGTCAATGCCTGCAATCGGATATTGATTGCGTAATACGATTGGAGACACGTTTTAGACTTGAAGACAGCGTTTGTATCAATTGTGTTGAGTTTGCAATTCACCACTAAGTCATCGCTATAAATATGTTTAGAGATTGTCTTCAACTGAAGAATTAAATTTATTTATAGAAAAGTATTGAATACATGATAAATTAGTCACGAATTGAATGCATGCTTAATACAGTATTCATAAATTGATTGCTTTAAACATATGCTTAACTAAAATGCTATCTTTCATTATTCACTAATTATATTAAGTTTTAGTTATTAGTTGCTTATAATAGATCTATTACAATAGTTTAGACTAATCCTTAACCGATATTCTCTAACCGCATAACCTCTATGTATGTCCACATCTATAGGTGACTGGTTTAGTGCAAATCATATAAATCCTACGGGTAAGACATTTATTGCTTTAACCATATTTTATGCTAACCTATAAATAGTCTTAAAGTAGTCTTTTTATAGTTGTGTTCAAAGTTATATTTAATTTGCTTTTATCGCCAATTGATTAAAATAACTGAATAACTCATGATTGCCAGCAATGCCTTTATAATGAGATAAGTAAACAATACATACAACAAATCAATGAGTTATTTGAGTTTTATTCCGATATTTTGGAGTCACTATACAGTTAATACAATCAATTATACGGTATTAGTTTAAACTCATAAGCGTTCATCACTTGACTTGTATTTTATCAACAAATACAATGATCGCATGCAATGCTTTCCCATAGAGTTATTTTCACTCACATTACCGTAATGCTGTACTTTATTATTCTGTATACCATATGAATTACTTATACAGATATAAATGTTATTATTTTTATTTAGTGTTAAAATTCATTAATAATTAAGTTGAAGGTAATAAACATTGAATTTGTAATTATTATGCCAAAAGGTATATACAGATACTAATACGATAATAATATTGACAATAGTTTTATGAATACAGCTTTAGTTGTTTTAAAGGTTGAAAATTGTTGCAAATATGATAACTTGTAGTAAAAACAATAGGAAATGAATTGAATGGAAATCACGAAGTATTGAAAGTTAAGAGAATTGTGGGTAACATAGAGTACACTTAGAGTACACATGCATTCATATGATTGTATAATGTTATGGACTGTATGTGTCATATGATTGCATTGATACCAGTTTTGAACCACTGGTGTCACTCTGCGAGTCTACAAGACTGGGAGGCAGTGTACGGCAATGTACAGCTGATCCGTGCGCTCCCAGTGTTGTCCTCCCTGTGCATCGGTCTCTATGGTTGAGCTCTTCCTTCCAGTATTGAAGTGAATGTTTGGCGCCGTTTCTCACGACTCGTAGACATAGCGTACTATTAGTCGGTTTGAGGGGCTGTCAGACACTGAGGCTCTTCCCAACCCTTACCACCACTATATCCAGTGCTTTGCGCCTGTATTTCAAGTTTTAGCAAATAGTCATTCGTCTAAATTATTGTCGTATTTATCCTCGTATTCAGTCACTTAGTGTTAATTTTTTGCAAATTTAGTCTTGTTTTTGTCGATATAGTGATACCAGTGCTATATTTAGTGAGTCATTAATGTGTGAATGTCTTCAGATATGGATTCATATTCATTGACAGAAAAGTCAGACAATAGATGGTATAGTGGTATAGCCATCAAAGGTAACCAAAACACTCTTTCTATATAACATTACTCTACACTCAAAACAATTGTTATGTAATGTTGTCCTCACTTCACATTGGATTCACTCCAACGATCTCTCTATCCATTCGTTTCTTTGTTTCAATTATTATTTGTTTTATATTTGTTGCTATTTTGCATAATCTTTCTTAATATATATTTGCCAACACATTCACATTTAGGTGATCCAGTATCAATTTAAAAATTAATTTAATAATTAACCCATTCCTTGGTCATGACAATTGTGTTAATACAGTAATTTGCCATTTACATGTATTTCATATATTAATATCTATGATATGTTTATCGATGTTTGCAAATTGCAATCATTTGATGACTTTGTAAGAATAGGTTTCGTAAAATGATTTATTAATTATTCTTTGCATTGAGAGCCAAATCAGACATTTTATTTAAATTGAATGCATTAATAAAGCCTTTTTAAAAGTTTATCCCCAAAGTAGTGTCTAATGATTGATAAAATTAGAAACTAATTGCTTGTAAAGCAGACAAAAAATAGACTATTAATGAATAGTTTGAAAGAATGGTTTTTTGTTGGTATACAATAGCAATGCCATGAAAGCAATGGCATTAGTGTTGAGCAGTTTGTATGCAAACGTAGAGCACTTGACTTGTTTGGCGTGAACTCTGTTTCTAACCATTCGTCAAGCGATCGATATTTGGTTTGTTTTGGTTGTGAAGAGCTTTCACTATATATTACATATCTGTTGGACTCCATAGCAGACACTCTATCACTCAATCATATCTCAAGATTTTAACTATTGTCGGATTGGCAACCAATTTGCATATCATTTAATTTAAGATACATTTAATTAAACTTTTATTGCAAAGCATTTGAAATATCATCTTTGATTGCATAGTAGTTATGAAATGTATTATCAATGATATAATGAAATCTATAAAACATGTAATGTATTGATTGATTGATTGATCAGTTGCTGAGTTTGTCTACTGGAGAGACCCGAAGAAGAGTGGAGTGGTATTCGTTGCCGGACTGGCAATCCTCTTGTCGCTGACCGTCTTCTCCATAATCTCAGTGTTCGCCTACTCTTCGTTGGCCGCCCTCTCTCTGACCCTTTCGTTCAGAATCTATAAGAATATATTACAGGCCGTGCAGAAGACCAATGAGGGACACCCTTTCAAGTGAGTGCTCTCTCTCTCTCTCTCTCTCTCTCTGCCATCAATTGACATGAATTAATGACCGCATGTTGTGATTGCAGAGAATATCTAGAGGTCGAGATAACGCCGTCGAGTGAACGCATTCATGAGATCGTGGACTCGTTTCTCTCGCACTTCAACCGCACACTAAACAAACTCCGCAGCGTTTTCCTCGTCGAAGACATAATCGATTCGCTGAAGTTCGTGGTGTTGTTCTGGTGTCTCACGTACATCGGCGCCTGGTTTAATGGACTCACTCTCATCATACTGTCCTATTTGGCACTCTTCTCATTGCCCAAAGTCTATGAGATGAATAAGACTCAAGTCGATCAGTATTTAAGTCTGGTCTCCACTCAGATCACTGACATCACCTCNGTTTAATGGACTCACTCTCATCATACTGTCCTATTTGGCACTCTTCTCATTGCCCAAAGTCTATGAGATGAATAAGACTCAAGTCGATCAGTATTTAAGTCTGGTCTCCACTCAGATCACTGACATCACCTCTAAGTAAGTGTTCATGTCTGAAGCATTTGTATTCATTTCTAATGGATTGTCATTTGATTGCATACAGAATCCGAGGCGCGATTCCGTTTCCCGCGAAAAAAGATAAGGATAACTAAAGGACTATTCAATGTCTTCACGAATACAACACCATTTAGAACTCAGTTTTGGGATTAAGTAACAGTTATTAAGAATTTTAATGGAATTGCAATTCTACTCATTATTCAAATTTGTTTTTTCAAGTCATAATAATTATGGACTCACTCTCATCATACTGTCCTATTTGGCACTCTTCTCATTGCCCAAAGTCTATGAGATGAATAAGACTCAAGTCGATCAGTATTTAAGTCTGGTCTCCACTCAGATCACTGACATCACCTCCAAGTAAGTGTTGATTTGTATTCATTTCTAATGGATTGTCATTTGATTGCAAATTTGTATTCATTTCTAATGGATTGTCATTTGATTGCAAATTTGTATTCATTTCTAATGGATTGTCATTTGATTGCATACAGAATCCGAGGCGCGATTCCGTTTCCAGCGAAAAAAGATAAGGATAACTAAAGGACTTCAATGTCTTCACGAATACAACACCATTTAGAACTCAGTTTTGGGATTAAGTAACAGTTATTAAGAATTTTAATGGAATTGCAATTCTACTCATTATTCAAATTTGTTTTTTCAAGTCATAATAATCACAAATCATTGAATTTTATAAGAATATTCTCGTAGTTATCGGTACTCTTAACAGAAATTATCTAATGAACGCTTCGTCAAAAACTGGGAGTAATTCTAAAAATCCATTGTCTGTCGGATGTATTGATTATATTCTAAACTTATATACGATATTGGATTTGAGCACAAATTTTGCAACTAATTGTCCTCTAATTTCACCCACACTTGCAGTCTTTCCGTCAGTTTTTGTCAAATTTGAGAATATGTTTAAAACTCAATTTCTCTCGATTTGATTGATTTTAACTTATTTTGAATTTTGTATAAATGTTTTGTTGATTTTTTTAAAACCCGATTATTATAAGTTTTGTGATTAAAATTCTGGAAATTAATTGATTATATACTTATAAAAAGTCTATAAAGTGATAGAATTTGTCAGAATTTGTCGAAATTATTTGAAATTACAGTCTAATTAATGGCATTTTCCCCACAATTTGATAAGTTGTATGTTTTAATTTAACATTTAATATCTAAATACAGTATATGATGTAAATTTGAATATAACTTATTACTCGATATTTATACGCATTTAGTGTTAGTTTAAAAATATGAATACAATAATATAATTTGATTAGTTTTAAGATTTTAGTTATTATTTGTAAAGACTATATATTTATATTTGAAATCAAGTGATTTCAGCAAAACATGTATAGCAGTGAAATATTGTATTTAAAAATTTTGTGATGTTTTCAGAATTTGATTTTAAGATCTGTTAATTCCTGTATTCATTAAGTTCTTAATTCTAATAAATTTACTTTTTTTCAAAACAATCTATTATTCATTTATTCAGTATTTTTATTACGGTATTGTGTCACCCTATTACCGTGTACATGCTTTTCAACTGGATCCAAAAATAGCTAATTAAACATAATTATGCTTTTATTCCATGAATTTGTGCAATATTTGGCAACTAATTGAAACAATTCTTATATTTTAAGAGTTTCTATGAAAGTGTACTTTACTTATGAATTAATGACATCAAATTGGTTACAGAATATCAAAATGTTTCTAGAAATTCATCATTTGATTTCATTTGCATCCAAATAATGATTTTAAAATTAAAATTGGTATTTTAGCAATGTGAATTCGTTAATTTTGTATTAATATATAAATATTGAAACTTTGACGGTAAGTTATTCAAATATTTATTACCTTTATATACAGTACAATGAGACGTTCATCTATTAATTCTATTAATTTGAATACCATATACCGTAAGATGCATTACAGTATGTGCACACAAATGTACAATACTGTATGATACAGTATGTTCAGTGAGTAGTCCAATCGTGTTTCAAATAAACGTAACTTTGCGGAAATAGATATTTTCAAAGTGTATTAGTTTTGACTAATGAAACCACAATATACTCAATTACAAAATAATGCAGAGTGAAACATTTTTAAGTGTAAATTATTTAATAATTTAAAATTGTGCACATTATGATGATTTCTATATTTGCACGAATAAGTATCTCATAACCATATGTGTCGTCAAAATGATAAAGATTATCAGTCCTAATAAAAGTATTTTTGCAGGAATTCTTTAAGTTTTCATTATTTGACCATGGTGCTACACTGCCATGTTTATAAATTATTAATGTCACGACATTGCATACTATGCAACTATTTTTTAAAAAATTTAAATGAATTCTACGAAATGAATTGATAGTATAGATTAGACGAGAATAAAAAACAAACATGAATTTATTTGATTTGTCTAACATAACAGTTAATAACTTTTTAAAGATTAATAAATAAATAGTTATTTATTAGCCCTGTAGTGAGTTTGCCTTAGGTTTGAGTGTATTAATAGTAAATTAGTTAAGTTAGAAAAGCAATCAATCATTTATGTGTTCACTATAACGAGTTGTACACTAAAGTGGACTAATTATAACGAGTCGACAATAATATGAAAAGTTATATAAAAAAGTGAATAAAGAATTGTTTTTAGAGTTGAACTGAAGTTAAGTTTATTAGCATTTAATGACATTTTGTTCCTGTTTTCAGAGCTTTGAAGCAAAAAATAAATTACTTTTAATAATAATAATAACAACTCTTTTTTCGCACAAATCATAGCAATTGAGTGAATGCTTGAATGTCTATGAAGTGGCAAACAGTCTGTGAATGGCATCCAAACTAATGTGAAGTTAGGAACTAATGTTGAAATAGTATTGAGAAAAAAGTAAATGTCTTTTGAAAACAAGTTGCAGCACCTGTTATGCCTGTGCTCTCCTATCATATACCTGTGCTATAACTGCCTGTCCTTTCCCGGGGGTATCTCTTAATGATTGAGTCACTGATGACTCATTCAATTGTAAAACCAAATGAGAGAATGAACTCAAAAACTGAAAACTTTTTTGTGCATAGAGTTTGTGCTATGATATAGTGAGTGCTAGACTATTGTATGCTGTATTGGATTGTATTGAATGGCACTGAACAGTCAGTCATTAACAGTGGTGGCAGTGTGAACATCCATCCATACATACCATTCACTGGACACTCATTTGCTAATCAATTGCTTATATAATTGAATGAGTGAATCGAGTAATGGTATACCTATGAATATTTGCAAGTGAACTAGCATAGTTATGTAGGGTGGTGTGTTTGCGTGAGTGTACGCCAGGTGGTGGTGTGGTATGGACTGGGATAGTGTGTAAATATCGCCATTTTATTGGTGCGATTGGTGTTGAATGTGTTTTGTGAGCACTTTTCAGGTGATTCTCTCGTCATTTCATTGACAATACATTCAAATGGTTATGCATTGAATGCAATCAATGTATCCGTCATTCACTCCATTCCTCAAATGAGTCCACTGTTTGTTTGCATTCACTCTGAATTGGACTCAATTTAACACGAGTTTCAATCGGCGGTCAAAGAGTAGACTGGCTTTCAGTCCAATCGCTACCTATTCATTGGATTTCATGTAAACACCAAACCATTGTATTGTCATTTGTGTGACAATTGGTGCGAGCATTACAAGACATTGCATCGATTGGTGACAATATCCTAATCTCCGTCACGTCTTGAGCTGTGTTTGGGGTCACCGGTGGACTCAAAGGTCACACAAACCACTTGTTTGCCACTCATTGTCAACACGACGGCTATTATTGCAAACAAATCGTCAAAAACTTTGTTTCAATTATTTCTACAAAACGGAAGTCTTTTACAGAAGCCGTCAAACGTTTCACACTTTTTGTCACTTTTTAAATCATTTTTCATATTTTATGTGAGTTTTCATTGATTCGTATATGAAATGCATTTTTTATTATCAACTCATTTATTGATTGTTATATTAACGCAATCTATGCTATCATTTGCTGGTTATTAATTGATTGACCATTTGATTGATTGGACAGTTATGTTGTGCTGAAGTGTACCACCAATTAGTTGATTGAAACGATGGCCGCGAGTGTGCGAACACCTCTTCAGACGGTTCACGAATCCGTTGCCACCGATCAGGTCTGACCACCATTTCATTGCTTTACCCGTTAGACTGAGAGGGAAGGGGTCACTGGGAGGGAGGGCTCGTAGTTATGAAGCTATGCGAATGTGTTTCAACCCTAACCTTAACTCTCAGTTGAAGTGACATTTAATTCATTGATATTTGAATAGTTAAATGCTTTGAATGCATGAGTTATGTGTGATTGTGTCGCGAAATGTATGCATTGAATGTATAATAAATGCATTGAATTGATGTCTAGACTGAAGAGACAGTGACCATAAACCCGATCCGAACGACGACCAGGAGTCGGACATCAGAGGAGCCACACATCGGTCGCTACCGATTGCTGAAGACTATAGGAAAAGGAAACTTCGCGAAAGTAAAGTTAGCTAAACATCTGCCCACCGGTAAAGAGGTTGCCATCAAAATCATCGACAAAACACAACTCAATCCTTCAAGTCTTCAAAAAGTATGTCTTTCTGTGTCTTGAATATGATTTTTTGTTCATTTAATAATAAGATCTAGTTTTTTGATATAATTATTTTGTAGGTATTTTTTAAGTTGTGTATAAAAACACTTTTTATAAACTGTAACTAAATATTTGTAACTAAATATAAGTGTTTTTTATGCGTTTATATTATATTGGATTCAATGGTTTGTGAATACATTGATATAATGACCTAAAATGAGGACAACTTTATGTGCTTTGAATGGTTGATGAATTGGCCTATAATTGATTGTTGTGTGCATTACAGCTGTTCCGAGAGGTGAGGATAATGAAGATGTTAGACCACCCGAACATTGTAAAGCTGTATCAAGTGATCGAAACCGAGAAAACGCTGTATTTGGTGATGGAGTACGCGAGCGGTGGAGAAGTGTTTGACTATTTGGTAGCTCACGGGAGGATGAAGGAGAAGGAGGCCAGAGCTAAGTTCAGACAAATTGTGTCCGCCGTTCAGTACTGCCACCAGAAAAGGATTATTCACAGAGACCTCAAAGCGGAAAACCTTTTGCTGGACGGAGAGATGAATATAAAGATCGCTGACTTTGGGTTTAGCAATGAGTTTGTTCCCGGACAGAAGTTGGACACCTTCTGTGGCAGTCCTCCATATGCCGCACCCGAGCTCTTCCAGGGTTTGTACTTCACATACGAGTGTTTGTATAAACTGTTTGTTTATTATCTGTTTTTGTCTTCAGGCAAGAAATACGACGGACCAGAAGTGGACGTATGGAGTTTAGGCGTAATATTGTATACCCTAGTCAGTGGTTCCCTTCCCTTCGACGGCGCTAATCTCAAAGAACTTAGAGAACGAGTACTTCGTGGCAAATATAGAATCCCTTTCTATATGTCTACCGATTGCGAGAATTTACTTAAAAAGTTTTTAGTTTTAAATCCGGCGAAGAGGGCCTCTTTAGAAGTAATGGCAAACTCTTACTATTATACCTATAATTGCATTGTATTTATTAACAAATGAAATGTATTGCAAACAGAATATAATGAAAGACAAGTGGATGAACATATCCTTCGAAGACGACGAACTCAAGCCATACATCGAACCGGAAGCAGATTTGGCGGAACTGCGGAGGATTGATATCTTATCGTCAATGGGTTATGGAAGGGAAGAGATCGAAGAATCGCTTAGAAGTAGAAAATATGATGACATTATGGCTAACTATTTGCTATTAGGAAAGCGCACAACTGAGGTATGCATTGATGATCATTATGACCACAAACCGGTGTTCAATGAGAACTTCTTCTTAGAACGAATCGTGTGATTCCCGTTCGAGTTCGAGCCTATCTTTGCGTGGAATCCGCGCCAACGCTGAGATCACTAGTAATAGTCAGTCACCATCTCATGTGAAAGTGCAGAGGAGTGTCTCCGCGACGGCCAAACCCCGAAGGTTTAGTCACGGAGGAGATAATGGCAACCAAAACACGACAAACAGCGCCTCCGCAACGGCCGCCACCACCACTTATAAGAAACAAAACGCTTTAGAAGTGAACTCTTCCAAAGACGGCACCAATAATTCAAACGGTCCGCCCTCTCCTTCTGTGACGAACAGCCGATCAATGAAATCTCCGACGGGAGGCGTTCTCGACTCCAGCGGCTCTTCAGCCGCTCAAGTACTCAGTCCTTCAAAGATTACAGCCATCGGAATGGGATCATTGAGACAAAAGCCCACCACTTCTCCCATTTCTGCCGCTGTCTTGAAGAACACTTTCAGTGGAATTCCGCGAAGAAATACTTATAATTATAACAATGAAAAGAGTGCGTCCACTGAAAAGGCGTCCATTAATGATAACCCGGGGTATGACTTCTATCACTTCCATGACTTCCTTCCCCCCAAATCAATGACTTTGTTTCATATCTAATAACTAATCGCATGAATAGAAATGTTTGTTTGTTTGTTCTCTAATCGTCAACGTCTTAGGATGTCATGAATCGCATGTTTTATGTCTTTTATCTTAACTTTAGTAACACTTCTGAAGATAATTCAAACTCGAGTGCGTCGACAGTATCTTCTATTGCGACACTCAGACCACCTAAAGGTCACACTAAGTCCGCCTCTATATCTGTTGCGGGACGTAATAAGAGTGATATGCGTCCCGATAGTAGTAGTGACTCGAGTCGCGTCGCCGGCAGGTCTGACTCATACTAACTCTTCTCACTATTTCACACTTTTTTATCATTTCTTATTAAATTTAGTTTTATTTTGCTTTCGTTTGTCATTCAAATTTGTTTTCCCATTAATACCTTATTTAACTAATACTGTATTATTATTATTACCGTAATTACACGAGTAATTTGTGAATTGAGTTGAAATGTAACTATAATTGGTGTCCACAACCAATAGCTCTTCAACGAAAGGTGCGATCTCTCCACTGCCTGTCGTGAACCGTGCATTTCCGAGAGGGACAGTCAATAGGAGCACATTTCATAGCGGACAGACTCGTGAGCGAAGACAACCCAATTTTAACGGTCCCGGAGGTGTTCCCCTTCACACTCAGGACACCTCTGGTCTCTCGAGACAGTCTTTCTTTAGTAAATTGTCTTCAAAATTCAGTAAAAGGTTTGTTCAGTGAATGAATAGTTATATAATGACGATTACAAGTGAATGTATCGACAGAACAATGGCTGACGACTGCTGTTTTGGCGCTTCAGAAGCCAAGTGCACCAGATACTTCTGCTGGAGAAGAGCTCTAGGCTTGCTTTATTACGTTCTCTAAGCGTTTCACAACCTATTCTTATTGACGCTAATGCTCGTTTCCCTGAAATACCTGTTGCTCTGCGTTCACGGCGACCCCAACACCGACTCTCTGGTCCAGTGGGAGATCGAGGTCTGCAAACTGCCGCGACTCTCCCTCAATGGCGTCCGATTTAAGCGCATTTCCGGCACTTCTATTGGCTTCAAGAATATTGCCTCCAAAATAGCTAATGAACTCAAGTTATGACTCCAAGACTCTCACTATTGGAACCAATAAGACGAGTGCTTTAGAGAGAAATATTGCAATTATTTCGTAGGAGATTAACACTTATTTAATTGTTTAGTATTATAATTAATATTAATTATTATGTTTTAATTATTATAATTTTGACAATTTTTGATGATTTGGTGCAAAAGGAGTTTGTTTTTTGTTTGTAATACTGGACAAGAAATTCTTGTGGAGATCTTAACTGACATTAATATGAATACATAAACGACTGAACAGACATCCATTTGATGTCTGGTGTGACTCTTGAGTTGTTTGGTATCGTTCGTCACTCACAACACATCTCAACATTCGTTGTCATCCATTAGTTCCACACTTTTTAAGTGAAAACAATCGCAAATTATTTAATAGTTTTTGTGTACATTTCTGAACTCAATTCTAATAATAATATTTAGTAATTCTTACATCCAATCAAACAATCGATGATATATTCAGTGAATTTGAATCGTTATTATAATTAACTACAAAACAAACGAAAGAAACTGTGAATTGTATTAAAAAATATATTCTTTGGTCAAACTTTTTTGGAGCTGTTATTTGTTTTAAT